GGCTGGGAACGACAGGCCTTGTCATCCTGACTTATGATGGATGAGAGAAGGGCCTATTTCTCATCCATGGCAGAGGGAGGTGAAGTGTAAAGAAGGATGCATCTAGTGTCTCAGGACAATTCATCTTTGCGCTAGGTTCACTCAGAGAGACAGTGGAGCTTAGAGAGGGGAAGCAAAGCAGAGAAGCAACCAGGGGAGAGATGGGGGGGAAATTCATTATGTGCAGTATAATCTCAGGGGGAAACGGCAAAATGTCAGCAATGCCAGAGATTGGAGGGAAAGCGGGTGGTGGTGAGGAGAGGGTCTGTCTGTCTCTCTCTCTCTCTCTCTCTCTCTCTCTCTCTCTCTCTCTATATATATAAACTGGTAGTATTTGTCAGCTGTTAAACCAGGCATGGAGTGAGAGAAGAATGGGAAACGGCTGGATTTTGTTGCATCTTCGAGAAAATCTTTTCTCCGGCAGGCGTCATATAAAGAGAAAGTGTACAAAGGGCTTTGCATAGCAGATGTGCAAGATTGCCTGCGAAATATTGGCAGGAAGTGCAATCCTTCTCATTAGCCCGCGGAGAGGCTGGACGAAGGAAGAAGCACCTGACGGTGTCATTTTCAAGGTGATGGAGAGGTGGCATTTTTTCCTTGTTTTGTTTGGGGGATTTTTTTGCACATCACTGTGCTCCATCTTTACAAAGCATCTCTTAGCTGCTCTGTTCCTTCAAATGTCATGTACCACTTTATTAGATAGGGTGAGGGAGGCATGGGGGTGGGAGAGGCTTCTGCTTCTGAAAATGCTAAGAGACTCAGGAAAATGCAGGTGATGCAAAAAGGACTCTTCGGGTCCCTCCACTGCCCCATTCAAATAGGAGCTGCTCTGACTATCTGCTGATTGGTGGGGCTATGCCTCATTTGCTTGAATGAACCAGCGTCTACTATATCTATGTGTGTCTAAGTCCCAGTACCTTCTGTGTGTCTTACTCTCAGGTAAGTATGTATAAGATTGCAGCCTTGTTTCATTTTTTAAAAAGGAAGAAAAAATCAGAGCTGGCTGCTCTGACATCTTCACTCAAGCACACCTAAAATCGATGGCACTGCAGCTGTTCTTTTGCTGCGCTTTTCACTCGAAACCCAAAAGGTGTTTGGTTTGCCTTAAGTGGCCATTTATGAAGAAGCTATTACCTAAAATAGGGACGGGCTTATGAACAAGCAACAGGTTCATGAACAATGCGCTTGGATCAATGAAAGGAAGAAGAAGCGGGGACTACTTCTGCAAGCTGTGCAGTCTGTGTCATTTCACAAACAACGCACCAACCTTCGTACTGGCATTGAATGGGGTCTGAGGGAATGCACAATTAAGCCCTCATCTCCAAAGGTGCAATATTTGAAAACCAGTCCCATGATTTTATGTAAATTGGCAAGTGGGGGGAGGTCCAGTGATTCAATTACCAAAACAGTGCTCAGCTGAGCAAAGCGAAACAGTGAAAAATCTGCCTTTGAATGAGAAGGATGTGTAGGGCTAGCCCTACAATTAGGAAGAATGGGGTGGCTGCCTGGGAGGCAGGCAGCAAATATGAGGAAGAAGATGGGACAGAGACACGATGCCATATATTGCAAATTGTTTCGGGATGTCTCATGGGGAGCAATTCATAATGAAATTAAATGTTGCTGCTGCTGTTTCTTCTACTGCTACTACTTATATGCAGCCTGCCCTGCCTCCTTTAAGGTGTAGTGCAGGATGCTATCCCATCCCCACTGTCAAAGTAAGATCAAACCCTTCAGCTGGATCTAGATACATTAAAAAAAAATTTTCAGGGAAATGTGTTGTAATCTTTATAAAGGGACATCATGTTGGTGAAAGCTGGGACTTCACAGCGCCATCTAGTGTCACAGTGTTATAACACATATAAAACGCTTTTTCTTTACTAATGTAGCTGAGTCCCCATGGCAGGGGTCAGCAAACGTTTTCAGCAAGGGGCTGGTCCACTGTCCCTCAGACCCTGAGTTCCCATGGCAGGGGTCAGCAAACATTTTCAGCAAGGGGCTGGTCCACTGTCCCTCAGACCTTGTGGGGGGCCGGACTATATTTTGAAGAAAAAATAATGAACAAATTCCTATGCCCCACAAATAACCAGAGATGCATTTTAAATAAAAGCACACATTCTACTCATGTAAAAACACACTGATTCCTGGACTGTCCGTGGGCCAGATTTAGAAGGCAATTGGGCCAGATCTGGCCCCCGGGCCTTAGTTTGCCTACCCATCTCCCATGGCTTCTGTATATGAGAGGGCATGACCTCATCCTTTGCTTCAGGTAGCAAAATGTCTTTGCCTTGATTCTGTGCAATTTGCTGTACCACACTAATGTGCAATGATGGGCCAGAAAATTTGAACATCTGGTCAGTGCACAAACTGCATATTCCCTTTGACACACACACACAAAGGTTCATTCAGATGTGGGGAATTTGTTTTTCTGATTATAATGCAAATGCTTCTGTCCTATTCTGTAAGGTTTCTTTTGTGCCACAATACCTGTTGCATCATGGAATGGTGGCTTTTTGATCCACATACTGGCATGTTGCATTAAATTTCATTCATGCCAGTGGGCAAGGCATGACACAACAAGGAACAACATTGGGCAATGTGGCTACTCCCCCCCCTCCTTCCACACATGTGTGCTTCTGTTCCCCCATGAAAATGTCAGGAAAGAACTGTATGCTGGTATACCAACTCAAATTGTGTCACTTTACTGCCATGATTTTCTGGGTTATGGACACTGCAAATGGAGTTTTACAAAATCTAATAACATGGAAATGAGTGGTAAACATGCACTATATTCCATCAGTTTTCTGTAAGTGACTTTTACATAATGTGAATGCTCAAATATATTGTGGAAATTAACCGTTAGGGAAATGTCCAAGCAATGGAATAAACTGCCATGCGAAATGAGCCTAAGCCTCCCAGATTTGTCATGTCATTGGTGAAATGGGAATGCTTTTTTTGCACAGCAATATACCGGTAGTTTCAAGTCTTCTGAAAGCCTGTTCAGTCCAGCCAGTGGCATGTTGGACCTGAATATATGTAGGGACTGGAGATCAACTTTTTGCTCAGCCATGGATTTGCTGCCTTGGCTTGGGGTAGATTTCTTCATCCCAGCCTGTTCCCTTGGTGTCAGATGGGAATAGCAAAGTCGTACTTCACAGGGTGGGTTGTGAGAATGAATGAGCAAAGGATTGTAAAACACTCCGCCCATAATTCAGTCAAAGTGGAGCATTTTAAGTCTCATTGATTTCAGTGCAAGAGATTTCAGCATGTGCGTGATTCTCCCTTTGAAATTAATCAGACTCAAACGTGTGTTTGAGCCATGCCCTGAAGAAGTAAGAAGAAGAATCTTCCTGGAAGCATCACACAAGAATGTGTCCGTTTCAGTTTTCAGATCTGTACGTGTAAAACTTTATTTCTTACCAAATTCCATGTGGGCTCCATGTTAGAACATCTGATTTGCATGCAGAAAATCCCAAATTCAATCCCTGGCATCTCCAGATAGGACTGGGAATGACACTAACAAACAGTGTAGACAGTAATGAGCTGATGGTCTGATGGTGCAAGCCATGTTTCTGGAGCATAAAGAGTCCTTGCCTTATACTCATGTCTTGATGCCAGGAAATATTATTCCCCTTCCGAGATTTAGTTAATGTGTTAAAACTGAACAGTTTTTCTTGCGATAAACTGAAGGTATCTTGTGATCTCCTGTTGGGAAGCCCATATCATGGCTACAAAATCATGGATTGTTCTTATCAGACCAGCTCATCACTAAAGAAGGGAGGGAGGGGGAGAGAGGGCAAGGGTTGAACGAGATAATAAAGAACAATCTATTAAAGTGGACTCAGTAAGATGGGTCTCCCCAAACAATCACATTAGAACTGCAGTTTGTCACAGAGAATCTCTGTGTTTTATCACACAAGGTTCTGATATGAATTTGCCTTGAGGCATTAGTAGATCATCACAACAGCGGTGAAATGGGGAGAGGGTGAATCAGAGGCTGCTTCACACTGTACTGTTTCTGCAGTGCACACTTAAATATGTAAAGTGTGACTATGAAGCATTTGTGTTTGCAAACATGGGTATTTTATGCATGCATTCGTCAGGAACCCATGGTTGACTGTGGCTTCCAGTTGACTGCACACAACCTTGTGTCAGGCCTGCTGTTCCTAACACATTATGTGTGAAGTGACCGCAGGCTGAAGCATGGATATCTTCTGACTATAATGGGTATGGCCCCCTCCCTCCCTGCTTTCTGTTTCCTTTTCTCAAGCTATCTGGTAGAATGCCTGGAGAAAGTTCAGGATGCTCTTCCAAAAGCACAGAGGAGCTCACAACTCAGCCTTCCTCTTAAGGGAATCAATCTCCCTCTTAAGGGAATGGGTTTGCTGGTGACAAGAGAGGTTTTGTAGCTTCTTCTTAAGTGGTCTGGATGCACCTGAGTATGGTCAAGCATGCCATTTTCCAAACTGGTTGTAGCGGGTCAGCAATCCTAATTCAGAGTGCAAGCCCAAACCGTTGTTTCCTGCTTTGAATGTAACAGCAAACTATGGTTTGCTGCAAACTAGGGAGTGCCTAATTAAGTGATGAGAGCTGGAAGGAGAGAGGACATAGCATGTGGGCTTCACTCACTATCATATAATGCCAAACCATGGGTTGGTGTTACATTTGGACTGACCCAGCTTGTGTGTGCTACAAGGGAGAGAACATTTACAGGTACCACTTCTGCCAGAGGAAAACACTGCAGCCCCATATCTCTCCTGCTCTCCTGCTTGTGATCTACTCTTACCCAATGACTGTAGAGAAAGGAAAGCGTAGAGCAACTGCTTTGCAGTGTAGGAGGTCCCAAGTTCCGTCCTTGATGACTCCAGATAGAACTGGGAATGTCTCCGGTCTGAAACCCTGGAGATCTGCTGCCAGTCAGCATAGATGGAACTGAGCAGTGTGGACCATTCGTCTGACTCTGATCATAGCTGAGCTGGTACAGCATGAAACTCTTAATCTCAGGGTCACGGGTTCAAGCCGTGGGTTGAGCAAAAGATTCCCGCGTTGCAGGAGATTGGACTAGATGACCCTGGTGGCCCCTTCCAACTCTACAATTCTATGACTTGATATAAGCCAGGTCCCTGTGCTCTTATTAGTTAAGATAGTGGCGTAGAATGGTTTGCCAGTGCCCGGGGTGTGCAGGCACATTGCAAGGGGAGCACAGAGGACCAATGGAGCCCACTGCCCCAGCCCAGACTTCGCCGCCAATGCCACCAGAGCGATGCTAGCCCTGTGCCGCTTTGCGAGGCTGGGTTCTGATCTGAATGATTCACCTGGCAAATCATTCAGATCAGATCTCATCCTCTCAAAGCGGCATGGGGCTGGCAGGGCAGCAAAAGCACCACACACCCACACCCCAAAATATGTGCCTGAGGCCATTGCCCCAGCAGCTCCCCGCCCCCAGCTACTCCCCTGGCGTAAGAATTCTTAGTTATTTAGGACTCTGAGTTGGTGAAGAGGTGAAAAGTTGATGGCTGTCTGCTCCCTCATTTTTTTTATGCTATTGTTTTTAGGCACTATAAAAGACTGCCTGCTGGGAAAAGCTGGTGTCCCATGTGGATTCTTGCCCGCTTGCTGCCAGCTTCCCAAAGAGAATGGTGGGTGTTACAAATTGTCAGTGCCTGAGGATCCTGAATTTGGAGCTGTTCTATTATGCCTCCTGTAAAGATCCTGGGAAATCTCTGAACCCAACTGTAGTGCCAGACATCTTGTTTTCCTTCCCTCAATCGAAACTAGCTGGGCTTTACAGGACCTCATGTGACAACAATAAATAGCAGTGGCATTTAAGAATGATTGAGCTGTGATTGCCAAGGGCTAGCAACTCCGAGCAATATATGTGACAGCACCTTTAGTGCTGCAAGCTAGGGAGAGACAGAAACAGAGAGAGAGGGAGGGAGGGAGGGAGTGGGGGGGCTAAATGCTTGGATCTCCTGCATGCCAAGGTAGGCCTGATGGTTGGGGCCTGATGCCAAGGTTTTAGAAGAATCCACTTTCAAATGGGGTTAATTGACTATGAAAAGAACCAGCTTCAACAGCTTCCAGAAAAGACAACATACTCGGGTGTTTCCAGCACAGCAGCGATGAGGCAAAGGCATGGTAGCAGTAACTTCCTGCTCTCTTGTTCCTTTGAATGGCATGAATTTGGGTGAATAGCAGCAGGGCAGTGCTGTGCAGTGTCTAGGGAACATTTGCTTTGACCCTAGGAGGCACTGTTTGAAAGACAGCCTAACCTATGGACATGCTGGAGGGCAAAGGTTTACGTCACCCCAGTGACATGGGAACTGATTGAACTTGACTGTGCCACATACCTAGAACTGTAGAATTGTAGGGCTGAAAGGGACGTCAAGGGTCATCCAGCCCCCTGCAATGCAGGGAACACACAGCCTAATAATCCGCAAGATATGGCCATCCAACCTCTCCTTAAAAAGAGAGGGTTTTGTGTCAGATCTGTGAGGATTTGCTTCTGTCCGACACCCAGATGGGGGCTAGGGCCATAACACTCCTCCAGCAGTGGCTCCTTGGGGGTACCCCTATTTGATCTGGGTCATAGCCCCCCCCCAATGTGTGGTTTACCCATAGATACCTTCCCAGCAGATGGGTGGGGGTTAAATAAATGGCTTCACCTAATGCCTATGCCCAAATCCCACATCCAAAAAAGTTGTGGCCTATTTGAACCCCAAAAGTCTGCATACTGCTGTCTGGTCTGGTTACTTCATTACATAGGGAGTGACTTAGTGACGGGGGCTTGGCATGCAACAGGATGGTAAACTAGATGGGCCATTGGCTTGACTAAGCAACCTGGTTCTAATGTTCTTATGATAGGGTGTTGAGGGTCTCTGAATGGAGGGATATTGTGCAAAATATCCTATGTGACTTTGGTTTAAAAAAAGAAATAGGAGGAGAGGTTTCTTGTGACACAGGATCCACTTTTCACCTGGAAGTGTCTGACTCTGGAGTCAGGCTTCTGAAAGTCTTGAATGTTTTCCCAACTTCATGTGAGTTGAAGTGAGTGAAAAGGTTCACACTCCTTGGGGTGCAGGACCTCTGCTGGCTGCTTGCACGGGAGTAGCCAAAATGGCTCTTTGTATTGATCTTTATTGTGGGCACAGTGTGGATCCAAGTGTTCTCTAAGAGCAAGCTTTTCTTCCCTGCCTGTTCTGCTAATTGAGCTCTTTGATGCCAAAGCCTGATACAAAGGGATCTTGGAGGATACCCCCCTCCCCCCTTTTCACACCCTGTTAAAATTGCTGGATCACTTTAAAAATTGATTAATGCATCCCTTTTGGGATGAAACAGCTAGGCAAAGATCTCCGGCTGCCTCTCCTTTTGCCTGTGTTTTGTTTTTATTTAAGCCGCGATCTAAAGCAAAGATGAAGGAGAGGCTTTTACAGCCTGCGGCTCCTTGTTTGCGGATTATTTTCTAAAGATGCTCCACAGAATATCAATTACCTCTGGATTAGAAGTACTGCCAGGTAGTTCAGCTTTTGCTCAGAAGAGACTTTAGAAGTCAGCACAGTCCCTCGGCAAAGCCATGCTGGGTTGGGCTTTTGGTGCAATGGGCACTCAAGGACAGTATTCAAGAATGAGCTGCTTCCTAATTGGTGAAAGTGAAAGGGAAGTGGAGAGATCAGAGCAGCATGGAGGGGCAACCAGAGATGCATGGGGCGGGGGGGGGGGGGCTCCACACAGTTGAGCCTCAGATGCAGTAGGGAGCGTGATCTGATAGCATACATGTGGTAGGCTGGGTCAACAATCATATAGAACAGTGATGTCCAACCGGTCGACCACGATTGACAGGTACATTCCCTGGAGATCACAGTTGATTGCAGGATACTTTTTGATCTCTGAATTATAAAAACTGTTGAATGAATGTCTCTGCCCCCCGTCCCCTTGCTCTGTCCCTCCGTTGAGTAATTTGTGCACTATTTTCTCGTATGTTGCTGACTCGTATGTTCTCGTATGTTGTGGATACATTAGTTGGCTTTAGCGCTGCACTCTGGCCTTTCCCCCTAGAAAAAGCTCAACAGCTCTAGCCTCTCCCCCTAAAAAAAACTCTGAAACTCTGGCCTCTCCCCCTAAAAGAAGCAGAACAGCTGTTGGTAGATCACTGCCAGTTTTTTTTTTAATACTGGGAGTAGATCACAGTCTCTTGGGAGTTGGACATGCCTGATATAGAACAATATATTCCAAGTGTCGTTAGGAGATCCAGGACCAGAAAGCCAGTGGTAGCTCAGGTCTCCCATGTATGGGCGATCATTTGATACCTGTCAAATAAGGCTAAACTGGCCTCAGTGGCACAGAGTGTCTTCCAACAGCTTCAGCTGCTCAGCTTTGACAGGGGTAGTGTGAATTCTGTTGTCTATGATCTGGTAACCACTAGGTTAGATTAATGTAATGTGTTATACATGGGGCTGCCTTTGAAGACAGTTCAGAAATTACAGCTGGGGCCAAGTTGCTCACTGGGGAAAGATGGTCTGAGCACATTACAGTAATCCTGCCCCAACTGCACTGGCTGCTAATTTGTTTCCAGGCTCACTTCAACATGTTTGTTTTGACCTATAAAGTCTTATGTAGCTCAGGACCCCACAAGGACCTCCTCTCCCAATATGAACCAACCAAGATCTTGCAATTGTCATCTGAGGCCCTTCTTCATCTGCCCCCTCCATGGTAGATCCGGAGAGTGGCAGCACAATAAAGTTCAAATAGTAGCTGTCTGCTCATGGAACACTCTCGCCGGGGAGGCTAACCTGCTCCTATTGTTGCATAGCTTTAGGTGTGTGTCCAGTTCTGGGCACCACAGTTCAAGAAGGACACTGACAAACTGGAACACTGACAAACTGGAACATGTCCAGAGGAGGGCAACCAAAATGGTCAAAGGCCTGGAAACGATGCCTTATGAGGAACGGCTAAGGAAGCTGGGCATGTTTAGCCTGGAGAAGAGGAGGTTAAGGGGTGATATGATAGCCATGTTCAAATATATAAAAGGATGTCACATAGAGGAGGGAGAAAGGTTGTTTTCTGCTGCTCCAGAGAAGTGGACACGGAGCAATGGATCCAAACTACAAGAAAGAAGATTCCACCTAAACATTAGGAAGAACTTCCTGACAGTAAGAGCTGTTCGACAGTGGAATTTGCTGCCAAGGAGTGTGGTGGAGTCTCCTTCTTTGGAGGTCTTTAAGCAGAGGCTTGACAACCATATGTCAGGAGTGCTCTGATGGTGTTTCCTGCTTGGCAGGGGGTTGGACTCAATGGCCCTTGTGGTCTCTTCCAACTCTATGATTCTATGATTTTATTCTAGGTGCCAGGCAAAAATATTTATTTTTTTGTCAGGTCAGGCCTTTGGATTTTAATTATCTATGTCCTTTTTTCATGGGTGGGATGTTTTAATGTTGTTGTTTTTTAAATGGTCTTTTTAGCTTTATTTTTTTAATGCTATGGCAAAGAATCAACTAAAATGTTTAAAATATAATAACAATAACTGCAGCCTCAAGGGATGGCTTGCAAGTGTGAATGAGGCATCAACACTCTAAGACTTCAGACTAAACACTGCTAGGTAATCAACAACAGCATCATCAATTTATTTGTATGATGTATCTTTGCCATCACCATTAACCTCCTCATTTCAAGCACAATGCTTTTCACTAGAGTCAGTCCACACCTTCAGCTCCCAATGATGGAGTAACTTGGAAGAGAGAAGGCATCAAATGATGTTTAAGCATGAGTGTATCAGTCGTATTCTGCTAGCCAAGATCCTGAAGTCTTGTTTGAAAGATAGAACTTTTTTAATATTTAAAGAACAGGAAAATCTCATTTCAGATGATAAAGTTGGTTTTTCAAAAGCTTTGAAGCGGCTGCGCATGACACCCTCAAATTCCTTCTAATTTGGTAGAGTACAGCCAGGAAGGTTCATGTGATCAAGGAAGTGCTCTCAGAGAGAATTTGCAGAGTCCAATCAGTGGGAAAGAAAAGGCTCAGCTTCTTTTTTCTGGAAGGA